GTCTCTCTCTCGCTGCTCACGTCTTCTCTCTGCTCTCCTCTCTCGCACTCTCTCTGCTCGCGTCTCTCTCTCTTCTGCTCAGTCTCTCTCTCTCGCTCACGTCTCTCTTGCTCTCTCTCCTCTGCTCACCGTCTCTCTCTCTTGTCATCGTCTCTCTCTCTCTGCTCACGTCTCTCTCTCTCTGCTCACGTCTCTTCTCTGCTTCTCTCTCGCTGCTCACCGTTCTCTCTCTCTGCTTCACGTCTCCTCTTCTGCTCACGTCTCTCTTCTCTGTCACGTCTCTCCACCTGATTTCTTAAAGATTATTGTTGATGCGGAGCAGAGAGTCAGCAACTAGATTGGTTGTGAGATTTTTAAAAGAAGCTAGTTTCTCATCTTTTTCAGCCTGGGAAGTTTGTGAAATGATATTGCATCCGGTGATTAAAGGCTATTTTATTTTAATAATGACAGTAAAACTGACATTTAAAGTCCGTGCACTCCCCAATCCACAATCCTCACCGCACGTCACTGTTGTCTGCTATATGCATCTGATCATTTGCTGTTCCTCAACCACACGTGTTTTAGTTTAAAAGTGTAGGCTAGCTGTTGTTCAGTCTTTGAAATGTTGATGTGGCCATTTTATGGCTATTAAAAGCTCAGCCTCTGTCTGTGCGCTTGAACTGCGGCCTAGGACCACTACGCTGGCTTAGCACCCTCTCAGCTGTCTTCGCGCCGAATGGAATGGACTGATTAGCATGATAGTGATAAGATATGTATACAATGCAACGGCCGCCCCCCCCCCCCCCCCCCTCCCCCCCCCCCCCCCCCGCTGAAAAGCAAAAACCTAGGCCATTCCAGTCCTGCTGGACCCAAAGCGTTTGGTTTGTGTTTGTTGTAGGACGCCCCCCCCCCCCTGCAGTGTGCACTTTATGCTTGAAATGTTGTGTGCAGGAACTTCATGTGTTAAGCTCATTTGGAGACCGACGACCGGAGAAGACCTTCAAAGACCCATCAGACTAATAGAGTAATTAAATGTGCTGTGTCCAGATATGGAGAAACAAAGCTAGCTCCTACAGGGTTTTTAACACTGCTAAAAATCACGGGACAGAAGCAGCTCTCCTCCCCACACCGAATAATCCAAAGCCCACCCCAGGCCCCTGCTGTAATAAGTCATTACCTAAATTTGCAAATCAATACATGCAAATGTTAGCAGCCTAACTATCCTTCTTGTCAAAACAGGGCCTATTTCGCTTGGGTTTGCTAGTGTTAAAACTAAGCAGACATTCATCAGCCCACTCCATTATATTTGTAACACAGGAGAGATAGAAAGTTTCCTCCCATTCATACATTTGTCATTAGCAAGATCGTTTTACAAGTTTACTACAGTCTAGCAAATCTATTCATTTCAACCGTCGGCACCCAACAAGCCAAAACACGCATGAAATTCAGATCTTGGACAATAATCAACAAGTTCACACTCTGGCATCATGTTTAAAATAAAAATGAATTGCCGCATCAGAAAATGTCTAACGGAAACACGCAAAACTTCGAATCCTTATTATATAATAGCCTCTGAATTTTATTCTTTTAAATACTGATGTTATAACACTCACCATTAATGCGACTTCTGGTGCTGGGACTGTAAAAAATACAACTCAAAATTGTTCACTTACTACGATTTTGTGCATTCACTGACAATAAAATTTGCCTGGTTGGAACTTATGTACTCTAGAAGGCCATGGCCTGAATAGTAGTACCAAAAACAAGATAAATAGAAGTAAAGCCACACAAGTTCTTTGATTGTCTATCTGTCGATTGTGTATCCGTTGTTTTAGCTGACTGACGCCAAATATATCCAATTATATAATGTTTCCCTGTTTATTGTTATGCCTGAATCTACCACCTGTTGCTGAATAAACTTCCAAGTTGCTCTGGTGTGCAAAGATCCCTGCCTATGCGCTAGATTTTCGACACTCACTTTCTGAAGTTTCTGATGAAAAGTTCATCTATTTTGGTCTCTGCTCGCGTCTCTCTCTCTCTGCTCACGTCTCTCTCTGCTCACCTCTCTCTCTCTCTCTCTGCTCACGTCTCTCTCTCTCTCTGCTCACGTCTCTCTCTGCTCACCTCTCTCTCTCTCTCTCTGCTCACGTCTCTCTCTCTCTGCTCACGTCTCTCTCTCTCTGCTCACCTCTCTCTCTCTCTCTGCTCGCGTCTCTCTCTTTCTGCTCACCTCTCTCTCTCTCTCTGCTCGCGTCTCTCTCCTCTCTGCTCGCGTCTCTCTCTGCTCGCGTCTCTCTCTCTCTGCTCACCTCTCTCTCTCTCTGCTCACGTCTCTCTCTCTCTGCTCGCGTCTCTCTCTGCTCGCGTCTCTCTCTCTCTGCTCACCTCTCTCTCTCTCTCTCTGCTCGCGACAGTAATCTGAACTTAAAAAAGTAAGTTTTTACAGACTTGAAATTTCCAGTAACTTGAATTTAAACACTTAGTTGGCAGAACTTGGAAAACTTAACTGACACAACTTAATAAGTGTAGTTCTTCAAAACTTGAAGAATTAAGTTAATGCCTTCAACTCAAAAATCCTTCGCAGCTGGTTGCTTTGAAATTTTGAGTTGAACTAACTTTATCTTTTTTACAGTGTGCATGGACCAGAAGTCCAATTAAAATAATGGACAATTGCTCCTGCAGCCCTGAACAGGACATGCGAGGTGCGCGGGTCGGCCCGAAACCCGCAGTCAACCCGCGGGTCCCGCGGTTTCGGGCGGGTTGGATGCCTCAAAAATATGAGTCATGTCAGGTGCGGGTGGGTCGGGTCAGAAAGCTCCTGATCCCTATATAATATTATATATGTGAGCCACGGTATGGGAGTCCCTTGAGTACATTTGCAATTGCGCAGGGAGGCTGTTAAACACAAAAATCATGCTGACAAACAGGATCGCTCCTTCCTGACTCCCCGCTTAAAGCCTCAGAACACTCCAGCCCGAGGACAGACGTGTGATCTACACAGAGGCACCGAGACTGATGACTGTGGGCCTCACAGCAGAGGCCTAAAGCAGGGGCCTCATTACTTTAATACTTACAGTCTGTGGTAAATACACGGGCTACATGTGGTACACGTGCTTAGACTATATTAATATTGTATGTGTAACATTCAAAATAGATTGAGTGAATATTCCCTTTTCCTCATTTAGTGATTTGCGGAGGAGAGGAGAGGAGCAGCGAGAGAAGTTTGGCAGTTGAAATAAATGAATTACAGCTTGCTAAATTATTTGAAAGCATCTTCATTATGATTGTTATATTTATGTATTTATTATAAATGTTAGAGATGCCAGAGAAAAGGCGTCTGCTTTTTTTCTGAGTGGGAGGAGACACCAGCGGAGCCAATAGTTTCTCTTTCCATAACGATATTCTCTCTTTTTGGAAAGATCACCAACGTGATGCAAAAGTTTACGTTATATGCAGTAGTTTTAATGTCTGCGGGTTTTCCAGAGACTGGCCTGCTACAAGGAGTTGCCCGTTTAAACCAGATTGTCGATGTGTGCGGGGCAGAAACTCGCCAATGTAACCCTGCTCACAAGTGCCACCTGGTGGTTGTTTTGGTCATTGCAACGTCACTGGGAGGGCGGAAAATAAAAGACGCGTGAATCACACGTGATTCTCGTGTGATTCACGCGTGAAAGGCGACAAAACGGAATGGGACCTACTGTATATCCACACGAAGACAAAACGCTTATAATTTCAGAAACTTTTTCTGTAAACACGGAGTTAGCTCAGTAAATGTGTGCGTCCATATGAATGTAGTCAATACGCCTGAAAACGCTGTGAAACTATGCCAGACCTGTTGGTGGCGCTGTGACGCAATGACGGGATCAAGCCCAAACTTCCGTGACAAGAACTGGGCATGCGCGGAATTTAGTAAACAGACAACATGGCGAGTGTGCGAGCTGGTACTACATTAGTATGGACGGACGATGAGGTTGAACTGTTGCTTCGGGTCGCACTGGATTACAAAACCAACAAGCTACATTGTTGTTGTCATTATTTTCTGAGTGCGGCGCATGCTGCTTTAACAAGAGGCGGGGCGATGACGCAAGCGTCTCAGATACATTGGGGAGAGGCAGTAACCACGGAGCGGCATATACGGAGTTTTGAAATCTTTCCACTCTGGGACCTAGTTTCAAAAATGTTCGTTTACACCCCCCCAAAACGCCGGCCTCGTATGGACGATACACTGGATTGATAAAGTATTTTTGCGTTTAGGCCTGAGCTTGACTTCGTGTGGACAGGGCCTAAGTCTCTGAGATGACTTCTGTTGTGACCTAGGGCTATACAACAATACATTGTACTGTATTGTATTGTAATTCTTTATTTACGAAACGTCATAGTTATAGAAATTATTTACATTTATATTGCAGAGTTGGTTGGTGTTTTGTAAAAAGGGAACTCCCAAGAATCCGGGGGTTGTCCTGATCCTGATCGAGTGTTTTTGCCTTAATCCAACACATCTATAATAATTCACAGAAACAGATCCAGGATGTTCCTTATTGTTCATTTCTTTTGCCTTATGTTGCTCTGCTGCCTACACCCTACACCACGTCCGACCTATCGGGACGTCCTGCTCGTCTTCACGCCATCTGGAGCGGCCATCTTGGTGGAATAAGAATCACTAAAGCTCTGGTGTACAGTCTGAGTCCTGGATCATCACCACTGTCTTTAGAACCACTGTTTTAAAGCTTGGATCAAACCGAACCCGAATCTCCCACTTTCCGACTGTTAATCTGTATCATGTTTACACCTCAGAGTTTTCACGTCAGATTATTATAAACAAGTCTACTTGTTGGGATCACTGTACCTGTAGTCCCCTCCTCCTGGGATCACTGTACCTGTAGTCCCCTCCTCCTGGGATCACTGTACCTGTAGTCCCCTCCTGCTGGGATCACTGTACCTGTAGTCCTCTCCTCTGGGATCACTGTACCTGTAGTCCCCTCCTGCTGGGATCACTGTACCTGTAGTCCTCTCCTCTAGGATCACTGTACCTGTAGTCCCCTCCTGCTGGGATCACTGTACCTGTAGTCCTCTCCTCTGGGATCACTGTACCTGTAGTCCCCTCCTCCTGGGATCAGTGTACCTGTAGTCCTCTCCTCTGGGATCACTGTACCTGTAGTCCTCTCCTCTGGGATCACTGTACCTGTAGTCCCCTCCTCCTGGGATCAGTGTACCTGTAGTCCTCTCCTCTGGGATCACTGTACCTGTAGTCCCTCCTCTGGATCACTGTACCTGTAGTCCCTCCTCTGGGATCATGTACTGTAGTCCTCTCTCTGGATCACTGTACTGTAGTCCTCTCCTCTGGGATCACTGTACCTGTAGTCCTCTCCTCCTGGGATCACTGTACCTGTAGTCCCCTCCTGCTGGGATCACTGTACCTGTAGTCCTCTCCTCTGGGATCACTGTACCTGTAGTCCCCTCCTCCTGGGATCAGTGTACCTGTAGTCCTCTCCTCTGGGATCACTGTACCTGTAGTCCTCTCCTCTGGGATCACTGTACCTGTAGTCCCCTCCTCCTGGGATCAGTGTACCTGTAGTCCTCTCCTCTGGGATCACTGTACCTGTAGTCCTCTCCTCTGGGATCACTGTACCTGTAGTCCTCTCCTCTGGGATCACTGTACCTGTAGTCCTCTCCTCTAGGATCCCTGTACCTGTAGTCCTCTCCTCTGGGATCACTGTACCTGTAGTCCCCTCCTGCTGGGATCACTGTACCTGTAGTCCTCTCCTCTAGGATCACTGTACCTGTAGTCCCCTCCTGCTGGGATCACTGTACCTGTAGTCCTCTCCTCTGGGATCACTGTACCTGTAGTCCCCTCCTCCTGGGATCAGTGTACCTGTAGTCCTCTCCTCTGGGATCACTGTACCTGTAGTCCTCTCCTCTGGGATCACTGTACCTGTAGTCCCCTCCTCCTGGGATCAGTGTACCTGTAGTCCTCTCCTCTGGGATCACTGTACCTGTAGTCCTCTCCTCTGGGATCACTGTACCTGTAGTCCTCTCCTCCTGGGATCACTGTACCTGTAGTCCCCTCCTGCTGGGATCACTGTACCTGTAGTCCTCTCCTCTGGGATCACTGTACCTGTAGTCCCCTCCTCCTGGGATCAGTGTACCTGTAGTCCTCTCCTCTGGGATCACTGTACCTGTAGTCCTCTCCTCTGGGATCACTGTACCTGTAGTCCCCTCCTCCTGGGATCAGTGTACCTGTAGTCCTCTCCTCTGGGATCACTGTACCTGTAGTCCTCTCCTCTGGGATCACTGTACCTGTAGTCCTCTCCTCTGGGATCACTGTACCTGTAGTCCCCTCCTCCTGGAATCACTGTACCTGTAGTCCTCTCCTCTAGGATCACTGTACCTGTAGTCCCCTCCTGCTGGGATCACTGTACCTGTAGTCCTCTCCTCTGGGATCACTGTACCTGTAGTCCTCTCCTCCTGGGATCACTGTACCTGTAGTCCCCTCCTGCTGGGATCACTGTACCTGTAGTCCTCTCCTCTGGGATCACTGTACCTGTAGTCCCCTCCTCCTGGGATCAGTGTACCTGTAGTCCTCTCCTCTGGGATCACTGTACCTGTAGTCCTCTCCTCTGGGATCACTGTACCTGTAGTCCCCTCCTCCTGGGATCAGTGTACCTGTAGTCCTCTCCTCTGGGATCACTGTACCTGTAGTCCTCTCCTCTGGGATCACTGTACCTGTAGTCCTCTCCTCTGGGATCACTGTACCTGTAGTCCCCTCCTCCTGGAATCACTGTACCTGTAGTCCTCTCCTCTAGGATCACTGTACCTGTAGTCCCCTCCTGCTGGGATCACTGTACCTGTAGTCCTCTCCTCTGGGATCACTGTACCTGTAGTCCCCTCCTCCTGGGATCAGTGTACCTGTAGTCCTCTCCTCTGGGATCACTGTACCTGTAGTCCTCTCCTCTGGGATCACTGTACCTGTAGTCCCCTCCTCCTGGGATCAGTGTACCTGTAGTCCTCTCCTCTGGGATCACTGTACCTGTAGTCCTCTCCTCTGGGATCACTGTACCTGTAGTCCTCTCCTCCTGGGATCACTGTACCTGTAGTCCCCTCCTGCTGGGATCACTGTACCTGTAGTCCTCTCCTCTGGGATCAGTGTACCTGTAGTCCCCTCCTCCTGGGATCAGTGTACCTGTAGTCCTCTCCTCTGGGATCACTGTACCTGTAGTCCTCTCCTCTGGGATCACTGTACCTGTAGTCCCCTCCTCCTGGGATCAGTGTACCTGTAGTCCTCTCCTCTGGGATCACTGTACCTGTAGTCCTCTCCTCTGGGATCACTGTACCTGTAGTCCTCTCCTCTGGGATCACTGTACCTGTAGTCCTCTCCTCTAGGATCCCTGTACCTGTAGTCCTCTCCTCTGGGATCACTGTACCTGTAGTCCTCTCCTCTAGGATCCCTGTACCTGTAGTCCTCTCCTCTGGGATCACTGTACCTGTAGTCCTCTCCTCTGGGATCACTGTACCTGTAGTCCTCTCCTCTAGGATCCCTGTACCTGTAGTCCTCTCCTCTGGGACCACCTCCTTCGTACCTGTGAGCCGCAGCAGACCTGGTTTCTCCTGTTGTAACTAGAGCAGTGCTGGTTCTTCTCTGGTCTCAGACTGAGGAGGATTTGGTTCAGACCAAAATAACCTCTCGGTGAATTTGAGGAAACCCTGTTTTCTCGTCTGGGACTCGGCCCAATCCTCCGTCTGCAGCCGCGAACCATTATTCTGTCTGACCTACTCTGAGCATGTCCCACTCCTGCTAATGTGGGAGCACAGGGACTGGCCTTGTGCTGGGACTCGGAGGAGCACAGGGACTGGCCTTGTGCTGGGACTCGGAGGAGCACAGGGACTGGCCTTGTGCTGGGACTCGGAGGAGCACAGGGACTGGCCTCCTGCTGGGACTCTGAGGAGCACAGGGACTGGCCTCCTGCTGGGACTCTGAGGAGCACATGGACTGGCCTCCTGCTGGGACTCTGAGGAGCACAGGGACTGGACTACTGCTGGGACTCTGAGGAGCACAGGGACTGGTCTCCTGCTGGGACTCTGAGGAGCACATGGACTGGCCTCCTGCTGGGACTCTGAGGAGCACAGGGACTGGCCTCCTGCTGGGACTCTGAGGAGCACAGGGACTGGCCTCCTGCTGGGACTCTGAGGAGCACAGGGACTGGCCTTCAGCTGGTCCCAGAGTCAGGACAAAACATTTCAGATTCATGAAGCCATAATCTAGAAAAGCATTCCTGAAAATGTGAGACAGACAAAAACTTTACTTTTTTAAATGTACTTTGATTATTGAAGATTTTGCCGTCATTTTAATCTGGTTTTGTTCAGCACTTTGAGTTGTGTATGAACTGTGCTATACTCATAAACTTACCGTACCTTTGCTTATTCCCACAAAACACAAATCCATTTTTAAACTCAGTGAATAAAGTGGCATCAATTTAACATAATTGTGCAAAGTCTGAGCAGAAAAAGTGTCAAACTACAGAAAAGTGTCTTACTTTAGATAAAAAGTATTCACTTTCTCACACATTCTTTGCATCTGTGTTTCCATAGTTTCAAAGTCTGGAGCTAAAGCAAACAGAGGCCGTAAAGTCTTGTCCCAGAAGCACCGGGTCTTTTCTCGGACACGAACAAACCTCCGGCTGTTGGAAGAGAACGCTGCTAAATGCTCTGCTTTGTTTTCGGCTGTAATCGTCAAAGTTTACACGACGCACGCTCATTTTTTAGGTTCCCCAAAGACCGACTGAAGCTGTGGGAAAAGCAGTTCTGTTAAAACATTGTGTCTGATTTTACAGACAGTTAACTTGAATATGTAATCAAGCTAACTCGTAGCTAATGCTAACGCGTAAATAGTGCGCGGCCGAGCCTTTAATTGTGGCTTGTATTTTATCTATTTGAGAGTCAAAGGAGGAACAATGCATATAAAATAACAGTTAACAAATGTTCAGATATGACAGAAAACGGACAATCATTAGTGTCAAATGAAGAGGTCACACAACTACATCATGTTATTTTTGACAGCACAGCAAAAAGGAAAACGGCCCAATGTGAAGCTGCAGTGAGTGAGAAGTGGAGCTGGAGTAGCCTGGCCTTATCCGTCCGTACACTCCGTTCAATCATCATGTCCTGCATGTAACGTCTGGGTCTGGTCCCTGTGTTAGCGATTACAGTCGGTTGAATTTCGACCGACCAATCAGAGAGCGCGGGAGGCAGGTGTCGTAGTTAGTTGTGGGTGACGATAAGAGTTTGCGTCGAACAGGTGGGTTGTAGTTTGGCGAAGAATGTGATAATAAAGTATTCTGCTCTGGTTCTATCAAGAAATTTAAGCCGGAGCAAGAGGAAAGTTTTGCAAATGTAATCGCTGGAAAAAATTGTGACGCTACTCCCCACAGGCTTCGTTAGCGGCAAAGGAGATGGCTAAAGCTAGGCTAAATGCTAACAACAGACTCGGGCTCATTACATACGTCACGGTAAACTCAGATCCAATCGTTTCAATCTGCAAAAGGAGTTAAGCTAGCTTAGGTCCTAGATCATTAGCCTGTCCGTCCGGAGGAGCGGATCCCTTTCTCATATGGGTCTCCCTCCCTGTGGGTTTCCCTAGTTCTCCTCCAAGGTTTCTCACTTTTTCCCACTGGGTTTTTTAAGAGTTGTTCCTTGTCGATGCAGGAGGGTCTTGTTGGACAGTTAGTGTCCAACAGAAAGGATTGGTGATGATCAGGACACTTTAGCATTCTACAACATGTATGGACATTTTCTTCTGTGTGTGCTTTATATTCTTCATGTGTTTTAACTGTTGATTCTCTGACCTGTGTTGGTGATTTCAATGGTTTTGTTAAGTCTCTGAGATGACTTCTGTTGTGACCTAGGGCTATACAAGAATACATTGTATTGTATTGTATTGTATTGTTAGCCCCTCCCACCTGTTCACGGAGTCAATGGAGCTTAATAAGTTTGAACACGGCCCTGCACCTTTCTCATCTCCCTGTCAAATAGAAACTTCAGGACATGGCCAGAGTTCACAGCTCATTCCAACCGCTCACACAGTTTTTTTGTCCCAGAGAAAAAATGTGTCCAAAACAACACAGAAAAATCCATTAAGGAGGAAGAAGTTGGCGATCTCAGCAGCATACAACCGGCAACCACTTTCCAGCCCTATAACACTACACCTTTGGCTTCTGGGACAGTACCAGTAAACACTACACCTTTGGCTTCTGGGACAGTACCAGTAAACACTACACCAGGACTCTCCAACCTTTGTATCTGGGATTTTATATATATGTAGGGGGAATGGAAATGACTCCTCGTCCCCAAATGTCTAACACCAGTGAACATGGAGAAGCCATTGTGTTACTTATCCACATAACTTTGGGTCACCTCTGTCCTCCAATGTTTACAGCCCTTTCTCCGTAATCCGGGGGAAGGCGGGCCAGGAAGGGACAAAAACCCCTAACTCCATTTTTGAAGCTCTCTCTGAAAGAAGGTTGCCTGGGAAGAACATCGTCCCCGTGCTCTCTGGGTCCTCCAGAGAAAAATGGAGGACCCAGAGAGGCCTGACGGTCTGTACTTCTGAGTCAGTTTAAACTAGGGATGTACCGAACCCAGGATTCGGGTTCGGATTCGGCCGAATATTGGATTTTTTGAGGGGGTTCGGTTTCTGGCCGAACCTTAGAACTTTTCCCCACCGAACCCGAACCCTGCACTTACACTATGCGCGCTGTGGCTGTTGGATTCGTCACGGAAATCAGATTCGTTCGGAAGTGTAAATAAACATGCTCTTTAGCGGAGGTTTATATCCTCTTGCTCTCTGTTCCTCTTCAGGTAGGCAGAGGTCTCTTCCTGGTCATGTGATCCCCGCGGTCCAATTAGCTCTAGTCGGTGAGAGGGGATGTCCTGATTCTTGTTTTCACCTGTAATGCGGTTCTGATGGATCATAAACTAACTTCCTATTCACCAACTTTATGGAGCCGATTACCAGTGCCAGGTACTTGTCATCTGAGCTGCGTATGACTGTAGAAGCAGAGTTGGTGAGTCCATGTTTAGGCAACTAGCCTCTTAACATTAGCTTCTCTCAACTTGTCTCTACGAGTTTGGCATATTTCTCTCATGCCCATATATATAATGTTTTGACCTGAACCAGTGGAAGCTATTTATGCATGTGTGGAGCTTTAGCTCTTATTTCTACATGACATGCACAGTAATATATGTACTTTATCTCTGAAGTTTTACACTGCTGTGAACTGAATGTATTTGTGTTTAATGATAAGCGGGATTATTATAAATGTTATTATAATAGATTCTGGTCGAGTTACATGTTTAATTTGCAATGCCGATTTGTCTCGTGGTGGTAAGGACCCTAAACGGTACACAACACCGCCGCTGTTAAAACATTTGCGTATGAAACATAAATGGACTGAGGATGGAATAGGATTCTGTATTCGGGTTCGAATTCGGCAGAATCTTAACCAGTGGATTCGGTATTCGGCCGAACCCCAAAAACCTGGATTCGGTACATCCCTAGTTTAAACCAGTCTCCACAGAGGATCCCTGGTTCGTCACAGACCAGAGGAACCAGCGAACAGAGAGTGTGAGAACTGAACATAACGTCTCTGCAGGGGGTAAAACAAACTCCCAACAGTAGTGAGTAGATGCACTTCAGAAGGAACCAGACGACTGCTGCGAACAAGTGGAACAGGAGCTGAAGCCGACACACTTACTGCAAAACACTGGATTGAGACGTTTCAGTCCCACTGGATCTGCCTCGGAGGAGATTCTGTGGGATCAAAACGCTGTCTCGATAAATACTTCTGGAGGAAAAAAAACCTGTGCATATGTCGCAATAATTATTCACAGAGGAAAAAATGTAATCAAAAACATGTAGCTGGTTTGATAAAGAATTGAAAGAAGCGAATGCGTTTATCATTCTAATCCCCCCTCACACATTCAAGACACTGTACAATTACATACATACAATTTGATAATAACAACAATACCACACTGTAAAACACACACACATTCATACAGGCCCAAAAACTCACTGACCATACACCTCTTCTCACTTACTCAAAATGTCTGAGAGTGAGTCTAAGTCTGGATGATCGTATGTTTATCATTTCTAAAACTAATTCTGCTCATCTACTTGGGGAAACCATCAGGTAAAGGGCCTTAAGTTTTGTAATTCCCTGAGTACCCAAGACACAACTGATGAATTTATGAGCATCCATCTTGCTCAGACTGTGAAAACTATAGAAAGACAGACATTTTTATCATGTCAACTTCAGCTTAACTTAATACACACAGTAATGGACTTGAATTTTCTATTATTGATACAGAGAATAACAGGACAAGAACTAACCCCGTTGGCTGTGTACAGGGTGAGCAAGTGGCTCTCCTTTGGTCTTATCGTTTCTTAATTGTGTGCTAATAACCATGAACCTTTCGTCTCCTTACTGAGGTCAGCTCTGAGGATGCACCGGCCAAAGACTAGACAAGTGAACCTGAACCGGACTGATAACGTAGATGAAGATGAAGACCCTGTAATGTTTTGTGAATTTTTTTTAATAACTTTTATTTGAAAAAGAAAAAAACATGTACAAAACAGAAATGTAAGGAACCATTCAAAACATCAATGTTCACAATTCAACCATAGCAAACTTTGCATAAAACTTATACCTTCCATTTGTCCCGTTTTTCCTCAAATTTAGAGCCAATGTCATTTTTTACATTATATAAATCTAATGTTTCGTGAAA